TCTTTTCTCAGAGTCTTTCTTTCGGCCGTTCTTTTCTCAGAGTCTTTTTGTCGTTTTTTTCTCAGAGTCTTTCTTTCGGCCGTTCTTTTCTCCCGGGTCTTTCTTTTGGCCGTTCTTTTCTCCCGAGTCTTTCTTTTGGCCGTTCTTTTCTCCCGGGTCTTTTTGTCGTTATTTCTTTCTTTTCTTAGTCTTTCTTTCTGCTAATGGGATGGGTTTGATCATGATTGCTCTCAGTCCATGTGAATTGTGTCCTGAACTCCACACTCCCATCAGCTCAGTGTTACATAGTTATCTATACTGAATTCTGTGGTTGTTTTCGAGTGCAAAGAGCAGCAGAAGCTGCACTTCTGTGCAGCCTGAGAGTTAAAAATGAACATGAGCTGTTATTATAATAACAGAAATCGACATTAAGCTGCCCATCAGAGGGACATTTGGTTTTCAAATAGACATATTGCTTAAATACTGCCGAGTCCCATCTTCCCCGAACAATTTTGAAAGGCTTCTTCGTGTCATAATTCCAGCAGCAGCTTATCAAAATAAAATCTTCTTTTGTAGTATTTTATTCTTAATGAGCTCTTGGTGTTTTCTTGTGATGCTGCAGTACATCAACGGTGGTAACTTGGAGCAGCTGTTGAGCAGCGATGTGTACCTGTCGTGGAGCGTCCGCCTCAGCCTGACTCTGGACATCGCTCGAGGTCTGAAGTACCTGCACAGCAAAGGCATCTTCCACCGGGACCTCACCTCCAAGGTGACAAGAAACCCCTCATCCTCTTTAAATGGTGTTTATGAGACGTGTGCTCTACGCCACAAGCACAGATGAACACAGCCAGGGTGAAAACGTGGGAAGATGTGAATACATTTCTTTAAATTTAGAGATTTGGGACAGCCAAAGGCTTTTATTGCTGTATTACAGTCATGCAACCACACGTGGTGCCTTCACTGAGGCTCCGTTTTATAAGTGCTTCTGTGCTTCCAGGTGAATTCATTCAAACCAGCAGCTGAATTTTGTTTTTTAAGCTGCACTCAAAGCTGCAGTTTGTTGATGTAAAACTGAGGTCCAAGCAGAGAGAAGGTTTGTTTAGTTACTACAGGGCCTCTGCTGAAAGTTTGCACCCACTTCCTGTTCGGTCTGTGTAAATGTAATTATTTAAAATCTACAATAAGAGAAGTGTCCTTTATTAGTAATTGTAAGCTTTGTATAAACTATACTGCACAGAGTAATTCATTTAGACCATTAAAGGGATAGTTCAGGAGTGGCTTCTGTGGGGTGTTTATGAACAAATAATATCTTACCTGTTGTAGACAACTCTTGACAACCTCTTTGGCGATATAATTAAGTTCTGACTGGATTCACGAGATAACGGTATGAACAGGACCAAAACCAAAGTGGATTGCTGCGGTCCTAAAAATAAAGATTATTCCTAATAATTTTGTTGGAAGTGCTTTAGCTGCACTGGCTGTGCTACAGCTAGCAGCTGCTGCGTTTACAGGCTCCACTAGTCATTATGTCATAAATCTGGTCAGAGATCAGTTTTATCTTTTAATCATTTCAAGGTCAGCCGCAGAGCTGTAAGGTTATATTAATTGTTCAAAGAAACACTTCAATAACTGAACTATACCTTTTAAGATTTTTTTTTTATTCAATCTTTATTTCTACATATTAATCCCATTGAGCCTCAGGGACTCATTTACAAGAGAGACCTTTGTTTTTATGTGGAAACTAAAACAAGTTTAACGGTAAATAAACAGCTAAAGTAATTGTCGGAATAAATCTAGAGTCCTTATGATAACTGGGGCTTCTGTTCATGACTTTGTCTTTGTGGTAATTCTGTGTTGGATGGATCAGTATTTTCTTAAATACTACCATCATTTGCAGTAAATTACGGTAATTATAAGATACTATATTAAGGGGAAAAGTTTTCTAATAATCTACTTCAGGGCTATTGAACTCAGTTACATAAGGGTGGGGGCACGGACCAGTTTCAGTCGATACATTAAGTCATGTACAGACATCTTTTCTTAGTTGCAGGTTCATCAACAAGAGATTGATCTGTCTCATTTGACGTTTTCTGTGACTTTCCACGTCAAAATCAATAACTACTGGAAAATTCTACGTTTTTTGGGAGGGGCATTAAAGTTAGTCAACTGTCATGAGAAGCATGCACTAAATGGAAGTATGCTCAATTATTTTTTTTTTAAGCACAATGAGAAGCAATTAAAAATTATTTAGCATTTAAAATATTATCTCTGGGGCCACATAAGATGTTATTTGAATTGAATTGAAAAATACTTTATTAATCCCAAAGGGCAATTAAATGTTGTAACTCATTATCCTCATTTCATTAAGAGACGTTATAGATACTGATGTAGGCAGAAAGGTCCGTCCAACAGTGGATCCAAAGAAACTGGCCGCAGAAGCCGTCAGATCCATCCACCCAGATTCAGCTGGCCTCTTGGTTCACCTGGGCTGCAGGACCGCCTGAATGCCGGGCTGAACTTCTCGCAGAGTGATGGCTACTCCTTCCAGCAGCCTGCCAAGCTCGTTGTCGCTGTGGACAGCCGGCCCGGGGGACAATCCCGGTCCTTCTGCTGTCACAAGACTTGTTTCCTGCCAGTTCCAGGATCTCGGTGGTCAGGCACTTGAGCACAGCCGGCAGGGAGACGGGAATGCATCCACGGCGCCTCCTTTTCAACTCATTTGAGATTTGGGGCTGTAGTTGAGAGATGTATTTGAGCTTTTGAGATGTTAATCAGCTGCTTCTGGTTGTAGAAGACCACCTTGTTATGGTTACTCATCATAACAAATGTCCAAAACTAAAAAAAGTTTCAGTAAAAATCCTTCCAGTTGCACAGCCTCCAATACCGGAGCAAACAGTCATCCAGAAAAAGAGGAATTAAAGTTTCCAAAAGCAAAATCTAACAGAGCTACTTCAACATGCATCCACCCGGAGTGGCGCAATTTTAGAACAAGGGCCAGATTTGGCCCATGGACCTTCAGTTTACTTGAACACTGAAGTCCATTTAAAGTCCTGTTAGACCCAACATAATCTGAATATTTATGAATGAATGAGCCCTGAATGTCGATGTGTAAAAAAAGAATCTTGATTTAAAATCTTGCATGATTGTTGGATTTGAGAAGCTGCGTTTTCGTACATCCACTGGACGCACAACAGTAGAAAATGTTTGACCTTTGACCCTCTGTGCAGAACTGCCTGGTGCGCTGGGAGGGCGGCAGGTGCTCAGCTGTAGTGGGAGACTTTGGCCTCGCAGAGAAGATCCCAGATTACAGGTCGGTCCATAAAAATCTATCGGCGTTCTACGATTAGATAAGGCCTGCTCAGTAAATCACATTCCTTCACTTCTCTGTATCGTATTGCTCGTGCCATATATGTCTGTGTGCTCAGAATTATTTCACCCAACTTCTTCTTTTTTTTTTTTTTCCTTTCAGAGACGGTCACAGACCAAATAAGATTGTTGCTCACACCAAAATACACATTGTTTTTTTTGTTTTTTTCCAAAGTATGCAGGCACACATTGCCTCCTTTCCAAATATTGTGGTTAACCCCACTTTGCTCCCCGCAGGATAATTAATAATCCTGTCAAAGTGCAGTTTTAAAGCTAGGGAGAGCAGTCAGATTAAGTATTGACAGCACCCTCGAGTCACACTGCTATGACCTCAACAAGCTGCTCCCTCTGCAGTCTCTGTTCCCCCGTCCCATGCAGCTGTGTTTATTCACGTTTATGTGGCATCCTTAATTTATAGCTGCTTCTGCAGTGTATGAATGGAAAGAAAACTTGCACGTTCTGTAGCTTTTTCCTCCGGTGACTTCATGTTTCCAGAAATGGTTGATGGGCAGATTCTTTACCGGACTAATAAAAAATACCATAATGTGGGGGAAAAAAAGTTCTGTTTTAATGTTCTAGTGTTTCTGGAGCAAAATTAAAGTGTGTATCCTGTAACATAAACTGCCCCTTGGCTGTTTTTGAATGTTAAGATTTGTAGGAAACGTCCATGGTGGGAGCAAACTTTTTTTTCTGACAGAATTCAGCAAAAAAATTATTTTTCTTTTTCCTTTGTACCTTCGTTTGATGTATTCCTGTTATAATTGTACAACAATCATTTTTTTTTTGTCTTTAAACACTTATTTGTGTCATTTACTTTTTGACAATACAGACACACTGGAGTTAAAGCCAACCGGAGAGTAGCCTAACGTAACGAGTAGAAAATGGTGGTAACACCTTAGCCTAGCTGGTTGTTTTTTTTTTGGCTCCAAAATTCAAAAAGCAAATTACTTATCAGACCCAATTAAATTTTTAGAAAGACAAAAATAGGGGAAAAATAGCTCAAGTGTGGAAACCTAATTCCCCTTACATTTGTTTTATGTTTATTTTTCTTTTGGTTAGGCTTCTGGCCTAAGCTAGTCACCACCTAGCTTTAGCCTCAGACTTTCAGAATCAGAACAAGCTTTATTACCATTGTACAGAAATACCGTGAGATTATGTTCGTACAGCAGTCGTCTGAAAGATGGGCGGAGTGCACGTTGCTGTTGCTACTGGGGCGAGGCCCTTTATCCTTTTTCAGAATAATATTTTAGATAGAAAAAGGGAAAAGGCCATGAGGATAGGATAGTGGCATTACAAAAAAAGATCTCTTGACACCTTGCTTTCCCTTAGTTTACACATATCCCAGGAGAAATTTGACAAGTCTGCCTGCTTCCGAGGCCAACCAGGGGAGTCTGATTCAGATAAGCCACAATTGTGGATTTAAAAAAAAATTTTCAGGCAATCTGCTTTTTTTCCTTGTCGGCCTTGAGTCCTGCTGGTACTTTCAAGATCCAAATGGCCAGATTGGTGGGCATTCTCTGGTCCGTGCTTATGAGCCTCCTCCAAGGTCATCTCCAACATGTTGGCGAGTCCCAGAAGCCGCAGGTGGCCTGCGATTCTCACAAATTGCTTCCATCTTACGGTTTAGCTTGTAAAGCAGCTGATTTTAAGTACTTATAGCATGAACCAAACCTTCACACAGACTCTGCAGTTTTGCCATAAACTGCTGCCGCTGTCTTCCTTAAATCCAATAGCATAGGAATCCGCCGATGCCAAAAAGTAGAAACCCTGCTGTCATAAATCCAATTATATAAACACCTTCAGCGTCCTCCTGAGACAAAACGGAAAGACACATCAGCTCCCAAACTCCCCACGGATCCATGACTTATCCTGTCGCGTGAGTCTCAGCGGAACATGAGGGTTCTCCAGGACCCTGTCGTTTTGTTGAAAAGATTTTATTGATTGCTTGAAAGTCCAGCTCACCAGATCCATGACCATAGTTTTCGTTTCGGAAGATGTGTAATAGGAGCTCCGATAGACGGAGAACAAAAAAAAAGCAGGAGGAGAGCAGGAGAGGGAGAAAAAAGGCATCCACCTTGCATGAGTGAGTGCAGAAAAAAAAAGAATTTCTTTAAGGATTTCTTTTCTTTGTATTCTTGCCTATTAGGTTTTTTTTTTTTTTTTTTTTTTTTTTTTGCCATTTAGCACTAAAAACACTACCTAAAATGAGGTCAAAGTAATCCTTGCAAGCTAAATTTATTTTAAAAAAATGTCTTATTATTTACGTTTTCCCCTCTCTGGAACCTGCCATAATTGTACAATGTATCCAGCAGAGGGCACATGAAGACTACTTTCAAGTCATGGCCGTTCGTTTTAAGTTTCAGTTTCAGCACAGCCGAAGCAGTGAGCAATACTGTGTGGTGTATTTTGCTGAATGGAGCATGCTAATTTTATTTGAACCGATCTATAAAATAAATGAAATAAAAAGATATATATTTTTTTCAAATCTCCAACCCTTTTGTCAATAGCTACATGCCCCTCAACGTAGCAAGCTAACGTTTTGATAACCTAGCATAGGCTATTGCCTTGTAAAATGTTAGCCAGAACAATAAATCTAACGTAGAGATAAATATATAGTTAGTAACTTTGTCTTTGTCGACCTCAATGAAATGCATTGTTTGTCTAAAATATTTACTTCTTTGCAAAACAAACAAAATGTTGCTGTGGTCAGTAGTAATTAGACCTTCATCATACGTGACTGACTGTTTAAGCACTTAACAGGGAAGGACGTTTCTTTGTTTAATTTATATTTATTTAACACACTTGGTAACTTTATGGTGAATAGTGGAGGATAGAAAATGTGAACGCACGTTAGGAAAACTGTTTTTATGACCAGTGCACCACTTGTGTACCTAGAGTGGGACTACGTATAGTGTGGATCTGATTTTCTTAGCTTCATGGTCGCTAACGGCTGCGATTAATGAACAAGCCCCACTCCACTCACTGTTTTCTTAAATTCTTGGGGGTGAACACGGTTATCGGCATTCACCTTCCACTCCCAATACTGGTATCGGCGATAGTCAAAATTTCCATATTGGTCGGGCTCTACTTCTTAGTTCATCCCAAAGGTCACAAAACCGTCTTGAGTATTGATAAAGGGTGGTGACTGGTCTGAAGCCACATAGTATTTAAAAAAACAAAAAAAAAACAGCTACTCAAAACTAAATTTAGTGTTAGGTCACACGTTAAGCAAGCAAGTAATTATTTACTAAAGAAGGAAGTTCCATTCATGGACCTGCACAGGTTGATTTTAAGAAGTAGTTTCTAATGCACATAGAAAAGTAATACTTGTTACTTGTGTTAATTGTGTTTGTTTTTTTTTGAATGTCTAGAGGACCAGATTGAACTTTTTTGGATTTTTCTACCTGGATTATTGAGCATGCATCAGGGTAATACTTGTTAGTTTGCTTTCAAAAATCCCACACAGTCATGAGGGCAGAAACACATGAGCATGAGATGTTTATGGCCTTTTTGATCTGAAGTTTCTTGCCTTCACTTATATAGTCACAAACTTGTATCCCACAAGTCCTCCTCTCCTGTTTATCTGCAGTCTTTTTATAAAAAGCATTCTGGCTGAGATGAGACATCTGCCACTGTAACCCGAAATGCCTTTTTCTCTGCTTCTGCTCTCTGGGTGTTAGTGTCGAGCCACCGCTTGTGTTTACACAAGTATGCGTCACGATCGGGGAGGAGGACAGCCTTGTAACTTTGCACTTAAAAAACAATAAATTAAATTTCCAATAAACTTGTACATATATAAAACGGGCTCTAATAAATGTGGAAAAAGGGGAGGGGTAAAATATATGAGATGGGTGATGTATTTTCCAAAAGTGACACTTCACCTGAGTCGTCAGTCTCTTGTTTGCTTTTGCATTCTTGCACGTCTGTTTGCTCCTGTCTCTGTTTCAATAGGAGCTGGTGAGTTGTGTTTCCGTCGTCCTCGGGGTCATGTTTGCTTTTTATTTTTGCCCACACACTGTTGCATCCTGCAGCAAACCACAAGCAGAATGGACCAGCATTGTATGTGTGTGCACAATGTTAATACAACTCTGCTCATGGCATGGAGTTAGGAAAGCAAGGGGGGTGATTTGGGGTTGAAGGGTGTAAGGAAAAGCTCCAAATAAGGTCAAACTATTCCAGTCCTGCTCTTTCTCTTTCTGCTTTAGAGGATCTCTGCCGTCTCTTGAATAAAACGTTCCGCTTTGCTTTTGTTTTCCCCTCATCTGAGCCGTTTCCTCTCTGCTGCCTTCTGAGTGTTTCTTCATTTCCTTTGCTCCACTTCTCCAAACTGTGTTTACGTCGAGAGCCATGGCTGTCTCTGCGCTCGTTTCCCCCTCTGCCATCAGCCTTCTGCCTGAGTTTTCTGCTGTATCACAGTAACAGATGGAAATAGAACAGGGAGGAAGTATCTCCCAGCAGGGGGTGTGTGTTTTGTTTGTGTAGATGTGCAAACGCATAGTCCTTGCACATTCTCGAGTTCCTTCCTCTTTTTTTTTTTTTTATTCTGCTAAAGTTGCACAACAATATCTCTACATAACTGAAAATATTGTGGTTTCTTAGATACAGAGGAAGTTCGGGCAAAAGCGAAAATATTAGCACACTGATGCAGGTTTCACCTCATACAACCCTTCTGGGCTGTTTATCAAATGGAATTATTACAGTTTCAGCTTCAGCGGCTGTGCTTGATTCACAAAATACCGGTGCATCTTTCCCGCTCTTTTATCGTTTGAAGAGGTATTGAATGACGAGTGGGGAAATGGTCTATCACTTTTTGGTCTTTGCATCCTGAAGCTTCTGTAATGATGTGCAGGATTTTTAACTTCAATTGTTTACATCCAAATAGTACCCAAATTTATTGTACAGTGGCTATTTCCAAATGTATTTAATGCAGATTAATAAATTATGTGGCAAATGTCAGGAAAAAGAATGCAAGTGCCATGCTGTTGATTTTTATTAAAAGGAAGCATATGGGATTTTTTTTTTTTTTTTAAGTATGGAACTAAGCATAGAGCCTTGTGGAACTCCATGACTAAATTTAATCTGAATCTTAAAAATGTGGTAAGTTATGAAACTGAGGAGCAACTAATGTGTTGTTGTTGATAAGGATGATGATGGAGGAGGAGGAGCCCACATATTCAGATATCTCCAGAGATATTCAATCGGATTCAAGTCTGGACTCTGACTTGGCCCCTCCAGGACCTTCACAGTGTGGTCCTGAAGCCACTCCTTTGAGATCTTGACCATGTGCTTTGGGTCGTTGTCCTGACGAAAAATGAATCGTCACCCCGTCTAAGGTCGAGCGCTCTGGAGCAGGTTTTCCTCCAGGATGTCTCATTGCTGCATTAATCTTTCTCTCTATCCTGACTAGTCTTCCAGTTCCTGCTGTTGAAAAAATATCCCCATAGCATGATGCTGCCACCACCATGCTTCACTGTGGGGTGGTATTGGCCTGGTGATGAGCGGTGCCTGGTTTCCTCCAACATGGCGCCTGGCATTCACACCAAAGAGTTCAATCTTTGTCTCATCAGACCAGAAGATTTTGTTCCTCATGATCTGAGACTACTTCAGGTGTTTTTAGGCAAACTCCGGACGAGCTGCCATGTGCCTTTTTATTCAGGAGTGACTTTCTTCTGGTCGGTCAATGCAGGCCTGATTGGTGGATTGCTGCAGAGATGGTTGTCCTTCTGGAAGGTTCTCCTGTCTCCACAGAGGAACGCTGGAGCTCTGACAGAGTGACCATGAGGTTCTTAGTCATCTCCCTGACTAAGGCCCTTCTCCCCCCCCACCATCACTCACTTTAGACAGCCGGCCAGCTCTATGAAGAGTCCTGGTGGTTCCAAACCTTCCATTTACAAATGATAGAGGCCACTCGGCTCATTGGGACCTTCAAAGCAGCAGAGAACGTTCCGTCTTTTTCCAGATTTGTGCCTCAACACAATCCTGTCTTGGAGGTCTACAGACTATTCCTTTGACTCGGTGTTTGCGTTCTGACATTACTGTCAACTGTGGGACCTTCTATAGACGGGTGTGTGTTTCCAAATCAAGTCCAATCAAATGAATTTACCCCAGGTGGACTCCGTTTAATTTGTAGAAACATCTCAAGGAGGATCAGTGGAAACGAGATGCATCTGAGCTCAATTTGGAGCTTCATGGCAAAGGCTGTGAATACGTATGTAAATGTGATTTCTTAGTCTTCTATTTTTAATAAATTTGCAAAAATCTCTAATCTCTTTTCACATCATCATAATGGGGTATTGTGTGTAGAATTATGAGGAAAGAGATTAATTTAATACAATTTGGAGCACGGCTGTAACATAAAATGTGGAAAAGTGAAGCGCTGTGAATACTTTCTGGATGCTGTGTCTGTATACGTCTGCAGTAACAAGTCTGTTTCCCCCGTGGGGCTTGTTGACCAGATAAATGACTGCGTAAACAGTTGCTTCTTTCTGCGTAGACGATGAATAATTAATGAAAAGTGTGTTTTAGATGGACGTCTCTGGAGTTTGTCACATTATACAAGCTCATCTACACAAAGATGTTAAATGTCCAAACTGGTCTCAGCCAGTTTGTAAAAATCATCCTTTTTATTTTTCTATTACTTTGGTACAGTGAGATATTAAACTATTTGAAGTTGTAAAACCGTCTGCATAACTTGTTTGTGTCTGGACTGCAGTCAGAAATCAACACATTAGATAAAAGGCCTAGCGTTCCTTAAAGGAATATATCGCCCGCCACCTTTCTCATGAGAAGTTATAGTTGTTTTGGTTAAACATTTAAAATGAAAGTTTATTTTGCTAACAGACACAACGTAGCCATTTTGCCTTCAGCAGTTTTTGTGGGTGACGCTCAAAGCTAACCACGTTTTAATTAAAGCAGTTCATGAAAGTTTAACAGCTTTATCTTTTTAAAGCTGAATGCGCCGTAGAGTTTTTGTTTTTTCTTCCAACTCCGGCTGATTCTGAGTTTTCCTTCACTCCCACCACTAATCTGCTGTTGCCACTGTCAAGACTACATCCCAACCGTTTGTTTACTGTAACTCGGTCATAAGACCTTCATTCCTGTTTTCCTGCTCGTTAACCGTTTTCCCCACAAAATCCCTGAAAGTAAATTTTAAGCGGTTCGTTCCGAGTGTTGGTGCTTTGGGGAAATTTCTTTCGAGAAGTTTGAACAAATCTCTGTGTTCTCCTGTTTCTTTTTCCCACCCCAGTGAGGATGAAGTCCAGGAGCCTCTGGCTGTCGTCGGCTCCCCCTACTGGATGGCTCCAGAGGTACTCCGAGGAGAAGTGTACAACGAGAAGGTACTGAAGTACTTCACCCCCTCTCCTTCAGCTGCACGTTGTTGCAAGAGTTCAAAGTCCACTTGTGTCTCTGATAAGACAATCAAATAAACCGCATAGTTCATGCGGTGACGTAAAGCAATAAATATTTATGAAACGTTTTATCGTAGGCAAACACAAGCGTTATGTAACGGCTCGGTTACCCGAAGCATTTTCTGTAAGACTTGATGAAAGTTCTGCAGTGTGCCCAGCTTTAAAGGAAACTCCTGATTCGTATAAACCACTGCCCAACGTGGAGCGTATATGTTTACTTTATGTACTATTACACGTCCATGTATCCTAAACCAGAAGTGTATATGAATGTTCATTATTTTTATTGCCAGTGGATCAGTTGTGACCTGTGCGGGAAAGATCTGAGACCAACTTTGATTAGTTCTGTGTTTTTGCGTCGAAACGAATCGACGGCAAGGTTTTGTCCCCCACCGCGGAGCCAAGAGTGGGAATTGAAAGGATCCTCTTGTCTGTCCGTCCATGTTGCGAGCATGATAACTTTGGAACAATCAGTTGGGTATTGACTTCCATTTTGCTGTGTGGCTACATCTAAGGGTAAGAAAAGTTCCTATTGGAAATTGGGTTGCCACATCAAATCCAAAATGGCTGCCACCATATATATTTGTAAACCAGCCGCCTCTGTCATTTCAGGAAACTGCTTTCTAGTTGTTATGTAGCGTTAAATATAGTTTCTTCAAATGATCGAGGTGGCCGGAAGTTAATCTATGGTGGCCAGAGCCCCCATTGGCCACCCCCTGGCTCCACCCCTGTGCCAACTAACAACCAAGAGAAAAACAAACATGTTTACATAAATGTCCAGTTTGTGAAATATTCAGAATAGGAGACAAATCGGCACCTTTTACAGTTTATGGCTATTTAACACGGCCCAAGCTACATCACAAGATCTTTGCCTTTAGTAATTATAGAAACCTAAAATTACTTTCCCATGTAGGAGTTTAGTTTTAGAATAATTTATTTTCTGCTGAAAACCAAATATGTTGAACTAAGCAGCTAAATGTAAACATTTGGTGTTCTATGTCATTAATTAATAGTATGCCTAACTGGCCACAGGCTACAGCCTACATAACAAAGCACCTTTCATGCTCCAAGAGATGACACAACTCTACCTTTATCTTTGATCGTTTCTCCTCTTCTTCTTGTCTCTTTCTCCTAAACTGGGCACCTGATGGTTTTGACCTGTTCTTGTCCGTCTTCCATGTGTGCCATTAGCTCTTGGATGGAGTAGTAGATTATCATCGGTCAAAACAACTTGGGTCTAAACTAATTCTCCTTGGTGTGCAGATTGGTTTAGTTTTTCAACAATTTCACACAAATAATCTGTGAACTGTTGGTTATATTCACCATATTATGAAGGAAATGGAAGCACCCCCTCCCCTCAGTGGTGTGATTTACTTAACGATTACCATATTTTCCGGCGTATAAGTCAGTTTTTTTGCATAGATTTGTCAGTCCTGCAACTTGTATACGTTTTTTCATCCATATTCATAACACAACTTTTGACCGACACTTTAAATTTTGAAGAACTACAACGGTGAGTCCTCCCGTGCGCGCTCACTTCACTCAGCTAGTGCAGGAACACTGGAGCTCTGGCTGCGATGGATGGATGGATGGCGCCGCCCAAGCGAAATGAAGCTGTTTGGACCATTAAATAAACGTATAATAAACACGACGGGTCAGCGGTGACAGGGAATAAATGCAACTTATACGCCAAAGTGACTGTAAATGTTTTTTTCCTCTTCGTGATGCTTTTTTGACTGATGCGACCTATACTACGGAGCGACAGAGTACTGCTTATTCAAGTTTGTTTCTGTTTTCTGAAAATGATATTTGGATAATGTGCTGTAAGGCAGAATCTATGCTGCGTGTGTGTGTGTGTGTGTTTTGTCTTGGCTGATTTAATCTTTTAGCTCTTCTGTATTTCTGGTTGATCCTGATGTCGTTCTGTTTTTGCAGGTGGACGTGTTTGCATACGGGATTATCTTGTGCGAGATCATTGCGAGGATACAGGCCGACCCAGACTTCCTGCCACGCACTGAGGTATGCAACAGATCACCGTATATTTAAAGAGATGACTTTCACTAATTGGTCTTTTATGAATAAACTAAACTGAGTTGTAATGCAGCGGTCCGGTGAGGAATTCATGTTAAGAGATGAATAAATGCCTTGTGTGTTTTTAGTGAATAAAGTGTCTTTTCATGGTGTTGCCCAACAATGAAGGCAGGTTAGAAACACATCTGCCCTCATCCAACAGATTGCAGTTAATCAGAAAGTGCTGAAACTCGATGTTGCAACTCCTCCAGTCTTAAGAAAAACACTACGGGCAAGTTGGAGGTAGATCGAAAAGAAAGTTTTCGAGATAAGCAAAAAAAAAAAGATGAAACTATTCTTCAAAAAACAGTTCCCCACATGACTATTTCGCAATGATCTGTGTAATAATAACTTTATTTAAAACGATAAATAAAGCTGTTGCATCACAGCGCAGCTGAATTTAAAAGCAAACATGAATAAATCGATTAAAAAATCGTTCTGCTCGTTATCATCACGTAAAAACAGGAAGCTAACTTATCTGAACGGAAAATTTAAATCGAGTGATAAAGTCTTGGAAACAGAGTTTAGTGCATGTGCTGTGACAGTCAGCAGGTTTCATATTTTTCTTGCTGCAAACGTATTTTAGACATTTGAATATGGAAGAAGCTGCAAAAACAACGTGCAGGAACGGTTAGGCTGGGTATGTGTTGATGGTAGGGAGCAGCTCACAGCTGTATTTATATTTTGTAGCAGAACAGTTTTCAAATGCTCATTAATTTATTAAAAATACTTTTTGTCTTGGTAAATTACTTTCTATTAATGTGTTTTGGTCACTGCATCAGCGCAAACATCAAACTAGAGGTTATCGTGGAAAATGTCTCCCCCTAGTGGCTGTTTTAGTACTGCAACTCAAGTAATACTGTAGCTGCATACCAAAACTCGTTTATAAAATATGAGGCTTTTTTCTTTTTTCTTTTATTAGTCTAATAAATGATACATTCTTATAATACAGCCAATAAAAAAATAATTCTCCCTTTTTTCAATTTTTGAAATCCAAGTTTAAATTTCTCATTTTCACATTCAGGACTTTGGTCTGCATGTTGTGGCTTTCCGGCTGATGGTGGGGGACTGTCCACCCGACTTCCTGGATTTGTCCGTCGCTTGCTGTAATGTAAGAAACGTTCATTTAACATTCCTTCCCTTCCTTTTTTGTTCTGCCTCTTTTGTCTTAGCTGCTGTTCGTTTATGTTCCTTAGCTGCTGACTTCACACTAACAGGGAAAGCTTTAAGAAGTTCCTGTTTGTAGATTGTCTTGTCTGTGATGCAACGAAAGAAAAGCTTGCATAAAAATGCCTCATCCGATAAAACATCCATGCATGCATCCTCTTCTGTCCATTTCGGATCGCATGGGTTACTGGTGTCCATATCCAGCAATCACTGTACGAGAGGCGGTGGACACCCTGGACTGGTCTCCAGTCCACGACAGGGCCACAGGGAAACAAACAACCATTCACTCTCTCACCTAGAAACAATTTAGAGTTACCAATCAGCCTAACATGCATGTTTTTAGTCTGTTGGAGGAAACCAGAGTACCCGTAAAAAACCTATGCATGCACAGAGAGAACGTTCAAACTCCGCCCAGAAAGGTCCCCGGCCAGGATTCGATCCGGCAACCTTTTTGCTGAGAGGCAACAGCTCTACCACCTGCACCACCTGTCTTCTTTACACAAGAACTCTAGTGTTGATTGTAATGGTTTGTAGCTGTAGCATCAACAGGAACTGGACTTGATTTAGTTTCTAACTGGTGTATTTCTGGCCGTGCACGAGTCTTTCAAGCATCTTTTCATACTTTTAACTTGTGCTCGTCTTCCGTCGTCTGTATTCTCACACATCTGTTTGTCCTTCCTGTCAGATGAACGCGACGCTCCGTCCATCGTTCTCTCTGATCGTAGCAGAGCTGGAGAAGAGGAAAGCTGAGAGGAAGCAAAAGGACAAACCTCAGATTATCGGTGGGACACTTTTCAGACACTTGATGTAGAATTACGTCTAAAAACCGGTCCGATCTTTTTTTTTTTTTTTTTTTTTTTTTTTTTAAACATTGTGTTAAATGTTTTATTTTTCCTGTAGAAGTTGCTTCTCCAGTTGTCGGCCCTCTTCGAAGGCAGTCCCTCGGCTTGATGTCCGATCCCCGTCTCTCCCGCAGCAAGTCCGACATGCTGCATCCTCCGGACACGCCATCTTGTGTCACCTTGGCGCCTTCTGCTCGCGTCAACCCCTTCTCCCAGCGGGAGGACCTAAAGGGCGGGAAAATCAAGCTGTTTGACACCCCCAGCAAGTCGGTCATCTCCCTGACCTTCACGCTGCCTCCCCCGCCAGACTACAACGACGTTGCGGGCTCTGAGGACGACGACGACGTGCCCAGGAGGCACCGGCGCTGCCACTCGCTGCCTTGCACGCCGCCTCCGCACCTCACGTCGGCGCCGAACTCCGCGCTCACCGAGGAGGAGTCGGTGTCAGAGATGGACAGCGGGAACCGAGCGTGTGAGGAGGACAGTTTGTTGGGAGGTGAAAAGGAGAATCGTGTGGCGGGGGACTCGGGACTTCCGTTATCTGTTGAGCCTCTGTCAATGAACCTGCTGGACCAGGAGGAGCAGGAGGTGGAGGAGGAGCCCATGGACTGCACCAGCTCCCCAGACTCGCAGGACATCAGCTCCTCCTACTCCAAACAGCCGTCTCCTCCCTGTTGCTCCTCAACCCCGTTCCAACCTCCCAAGCCTCCCTTCACAAACGGCTGGGGGTCGGCTGTCTCTAATGGACCCCCGTGCCTGCCGCCCCTCTCCAGTTTGGACAACCAGAACGTGGTCGTCAGTCGACCTCTGGGCTGGAGCGCTGCCCCCAACACCCCCACGACCAACAACAACGGCTATCACACCCCTCCCAGCGACCCGGCAGGTTTGTCTCCCTTCGGCTCCGGCAGCGGGCACTCCCTGGACCAGGAGGAAGTGATCTCCTGTCCCGGCTGCTGCCTGGCCAGCCTGCGCTTCCCCTCAGTGTGTCTCAGAGCCCCACCCCGCAGGAACCCCTATAAGAACTTGAACGGGGACCACGCAGCCTCCCGTGGGCTGCTTTGCTCGGGGTCCAAGGTCCTGCCACCCTCCTCTGCCCCCACAACCACCAACACCAGCCTGGTGCCAGGACTCACCTTGCCAGGGGCGCAGACATAAAACACACACTGGGGGTGTGTGTGGGGTGGGGGGCTCTGTACCTGAAGTTCTTCCCTGGAAATTAAGCGGGTTTTCTTAGATTTTGCACAGATTTTAATGCAGCAATACTCGACTTATTTTCCAGACACTTTTTTGGTACTCTGAGATGTCTGCATGGGGTCATTAAAATTCTGTCCAGACTTAAAAATAAAAAAAATAAAAAAATGTATAAATAAAAAAAAAGGACTTTCTCCACACATTTTGGACAAGAACTTTGCTGGTGTCGCCCTCTGCTGGACTGAGGGCGCACCAACTTGTGATGTCAGCCATGGACTAGGATGAGGTCAGCTGGATCCTGTATATTTACGGTTGTAAAGATTCTTATGACGGATAATATTGATAAAGCTAATGAGGAATGTTAAACTTAGTATTAATACTGTTGCAATGATTGTTTTCGTTTGTTTGGTGCTGCTTCTGAATGAACAGGCAGTTTTGCTTTAATGTCTTTATCAGAGGTGTACGGTGCATTACTGAGGACGTCTGCGAGTGTGAGTGGTTGGGTGTGTGTGTGTGTGTGTGTGTGTTCTGTACACCGTTCTTATGACTATTTTTGTTGCTGTATGATCTTTGTTGGCCCGTCTGGTTGGCCTGTTTAAGCACTTCATCTGTATTACTGTTATTAAAGAAGCTGCTTATTGTTATATTTAGGAATGAATGGTCAAAGACCTGCTTGAGAGATGTACAGATTCGTATTATTTAAAGATGGCATTGAATAAAAAGATAGAATGAAATGAAGTGTTTGTTTTAATCACATTTTCAGCCTCGACTCATGCAGAACTTTATGCCAAATTCAAGACAAGTCCACACTTTTTTTGGGTCTCGTGCACCTCCTTGTTAAGTGTTCATTTTTTTAGACACAGTTCAAAAATTTATTTTCAGAACATTTTTGTCTCTGGAGACTAGAAATGTTATCACCAACGACCCAAAGAGCCAATGATCCATTCGTACTGATTGTTTCGTTTCTGTTAAAACACAAAGATGGAGGACAAAACGTATAAAAACAAAGAATATATACCAGTTTAATATTTTTTGAGAAGTGTAGACGAGGTCCCAGATGTAGTATTTTGTATGGAAATGTCTTCCTCTGTATTGAAGCGTACAACTGTCGCATGAAGTAAAATTATTGTTGAGCTGTATCTCGTTAAAACGAGAAAACTGCGTCTTTGTAATAGTTTTTTCTATATAACACGATAGTTTCTCATTATTCGTTATAATGACAGTTTTCTAATTAAAACTTGAAAACTCTTTAAAACGAGATAGTTTCTTATTATAACGAGGTAGTTTTCTCCTTAAAACTTGAATGTTATAACGAGATAGTTTCTCGTTATTGGTTATAACAACAATTTTCTGTTTAAAACTTTAAAACTGTAGTTATAACGAGGTAGTTTTCTCATTAAAACATGAAAACTGTCCTTAAAACGAGATAGTTTCTTGTTATTTGTTATAACGAGTTAGTTTTTCTCTATATAATGAGATAGTTTGTCATAACAAGATACAGCTCAATGATAATTTTACTTCATGTGACAGCTCTATGCTTCTGTAGTATTGTCCCATTTATAGGTTAAATTACTTTAGAAATAATTCCTTTTGGTTTTACTTATGACCGATTTTAATATCCTAGCAAGCTAAATTTAAAACCGAGTCTGTTTTTAAGCATTTAGCTTTGTTAGCAAATTTTTGCACACATTAGCTAACATGCTACTAAGCTGCTAACATGCTAAGAGGTCAATGTTCATATTAGCATATTGCTAATGTGGTCATATCTTTAGCATGTTAAAATCATTATCATAGTAATATGCTAATTTGATAACTGGTGGGCAAGTTTTACTTTTTAACCGTCAAACATTTCATTGAAATTTAGCATATTTAGCTTATTGATAAATCTTCAGTAAACTGTCGATTAACATTTCAAAATAATGTGAGAACGCGGCGTAATTCGATGAATGTGAACATGCTGAAGACGAGCTTACCAAATAGTCTGACTCCAACAAAGTTCAGTCAGGTCATCTGGATGGTTTCTTTTTTTTTTGTTGAAATGTTTCATCCAAAGGACTTCAGCACACTCACATAGTGGGCCAACCAGTTTGATGGTGATAAGATGGTTTCTGGAGTCCGCCCTCTCCCCATCTGTGACTGAGGTAGCCATAGCAAAAGTGGATCAAAACATCAAAGTTCGTGCTCAATAATCCAGGTAGAAAACCCAACAATGGTGAGTCAGGTCCTCTGGATGGTTTGTTCTTATATATTTATTATTATTATTGTGATTATTCATGAACTTTGATGTTTTGAACCACTTTGGCTATGGCTGCCTCAGAGGAGTCGAAGGGGGAGAGGGTGGACTCCAGAAACCATCTTATCACCATCAAACTGGTTGGCCCACTATGTGAGTGTGTTGCTTGTGAGACTGTTTGTTGTGGCTCCTCGGACTGATGAAGTCCTTTGGATGAAGTACGAAACCTCTCAACAAAAAAATTAACCATCCAGATGACTTTGTTGGATTTTTTTACCTGGATTATTGAGCATGAACTTTGATATAGTCCAACTATTGTAGTTTCAAATCACATCACTGTTAAATATAAAACAAAGGTCACCTTTTATTTGTGTTTTCTTTAAGAATGGCCTCAACTCAAGATGGACAGCACTCTCTGTCTCCGTCTCTCAGCCAAATCTGTTTCTCTGAGAACTTTAGGTTGCACTCGTGAACTGTTTTTCACACCTCCCTCTTTAAGTGGATCACACAGCCTATCCTCTCTTACAAAATCGCCAGCCTTTAATTGAATCTTTATCTCTCCCCACCCCTTGCGCCCTCCTGTTCTCCCCACACCATCCATTCCTCTCTGCAGCTCAGTCTGATGCCTCCTCCATTGCTCCTGACAGGTGTTTGCTGTTAAAGGGAGTCAGAAGTCTCTCCTGCTCTACAGTCTGTGGTACGGGTTGTAAAAGCTTAGGATGGTCTCGCTTTCGTGATCAAGAGGTCGCAAAGTTGCCATGAGGACGCGCGGTGTAACATGGTTTAGAGCTTCAGTTGGTTTGTGTATCGTTATTGTCCGGCTCATCACAGGTGAGTTCTGAAGTTGTTTGAAGTTTGATGATCTTGTACTCTTAAAGTATTGATTTTTTAAATAATTATGCTTTGAAATTACCTTCAATTACATGTTGAAGCCATTTGCTTCCTGTGTTCAGTGCTCCCATGCATGCAAAGCTCAACAAAGTTGTGACAATCGGACTTAAGGGGTCAATAAGCAACTTGTTTGACTGCGCTATTTTTGTGTCCTGGTTTCGTGCGAACCTCACAGGGTCGACTGGGTTAGTCTGCTACACTGCGGTGAAATCACTGGACTTAGGTTGCCTCCTGCAGTGGGATTGTCCTCATGCCAGTCCTAATATCACCTACACTGTACAAACAAAGACACAGGGGTAAGTCCTAATGCCTGTGCCAGAGAGAGACTTGCCTTTTCAAATGTGTTCTTGTCTTTACTTAGTTCTTTCGTTTGTCTCACTATGTGAGCACTTCCATGACTATTAAAGCTGGTGTGTACTCCTATGTGGGTGTATTAACATGTATGAAAATATGGTATACTCTTGATAAAATCATTAAGTGATAATAAGTATGCTTCTGAAAAAAATGGAAATGATAGATTGCTTGCGATTTAGACTATCCATGATGTCAATGGGACATAAACAACTAAAATAGAATTTCAGCACAATGTTGCACAAATTAAGCTTCTGGCATCGGATGTGCAATTAAAAAAAAAAAATTAAAAATGGAACATGTTGTTCACTTAAGGTGGATTAGTTTCAGTATTAGTGTCTAAGAGTCTTGTCCATAGATTGTAGAATGGAGTGGGAGATGGGTTGGCAAATGGGGTCTCATCCACAGTAATTGGGGAGTTGCTTCAGTTGGTGGAGAAGAAAGAGTTGAGTCGAAAGTCAAAGATCTTGATTTACTGGTCTGTCTTCGGCTCAACCATCACCTGTGGTCATGAGGTTTGAATCGTGACTGAAAGCATGGAATCCTGGATACTAGTGTCTGAAATGAGCTTCCTTTGTTGAGTGGCAGGGCTCGGCCTTACAGGTAGAGTGAGGAGCTCAGTGTAGACCCGCTGCTCCTCCGTATCAAAAGGAGTTCGTTGAGGTGGTTCAGGCATCTGATGCCTCCTGGACGCCTCCATTTGTAAGTTTTCTGGGAAGAGTCCCAGAGGCACATCCAGGGATTATAAATCTTTTTTGGTCTGGGAACACCTTGGGATCCCGCAGGAGGAGATGGAGTGTCATTGGCCAGAGATGTCTGGGTTTTCACCGGAACCAGTTTCTTCTAGAATGTGGCCAGGGATAATTGGTTGAAAATGGAGATGGATATGGAACGACTTTATTGAAGGAATTCTGTATTGAACCTAAATTTCAGTTCTAAACTTTAAATATTTCATCTTATGAAATAAAAATGAACTGACTTGACTATAATATTTTCAAGCCTTGAATTACAGCTTCACTGTAGGGAACATTGTAGAATGAAAGAAATCTGAAGGAACTTATAATTTGAAACATTAACAAAATTACTCCTTTTGTTGTTTACTTAAAATATACTATGCATCATAAAGACAAATTTTTAAATTAAAATTTAATGTGTTGAAATATGAACTTTTAACACAATTCTAGGTTTCTTTTGTTGGAGTCCGCCTCTCTACCATCACAGATAATCTACACCTCTAGATGCAGGAAGAGGGCCACCTGCATCATGAAGGACCACACTCACCCAGCACACACACTTTTTGCCCCGCTCCCCCCAGGCTGGAGGTTGAGGAGCATTAAGTGTAGAACCACTAGACTGAGGAACAGCTTCTACCATGAAGTTGCTGGACTCATAAATCCCTAACCACTAATCACTAATGCTACTTGAGTGGTAATATGTGCTGCTGATTAGCCATGCTGCTGATCTCATGCTGCTGATTATTTCATGCTGCTGTATGCATTCGTACTCATCTACTTACGCAGACTCATGTTCGTGCTGCTGTTGTTACGCCGTATTGTTTTACATTATTAGTGTTTAGCGTATATCTTAGATCTTTTAGCGTACTGTTTGGCATTCGTTTGAGCATATATCTTAATTTTTATCGCAGATCCTTATTTACCGTTTATTTTTACACTTTATATTTTTGCTATTGTTGGATGTAACTGGGACCCTGTGTACATAATTTCGTTCCACCTCGTGTAACACATGGTGAAATGACAATAAAACCTACTTGAACTTGAACTTTTACGTAGAACAGTAAAAAAAAACGTTAAATCAGAACAGAAAAGTCATTGTCATGTGCCTCGTGTGTGTTGTGTTTCAGGGACCCGTGGCAGGATGTCCCGTGGTGCGTTTGGATCTCATCCAACAGCTGTGATGTCTCGCAGGTCTTTTATAACTTTGAACTTTACAACATGATCCGTCTTGGTGTCCACCTCGGCCCCAGCTCCACCGTCTGGATCAAGCCACACAAATTCGACTACAGTGACTTCAGTCAGTGACTGTCTGCAGTTTGCGTAAAGCACCAGACTCAAACCTGATCTAAAATGATGAGTCTGCAGGTTCTCCCTTTCTAGCTGGGAGAGTACCATTTTTCTTGCACATGGTTTGAACCTGCTGCTTTAGGTGATGCTACCTGTTTAGTGGTGTGATGTGTTAAAAGTGGACAAACCTTAATGAAATGAACTCTGCTCTGTTTTCTCTCTTACCTGCCAA